TTCGTGCAGTTTTTCCTTCCCACTGTCACCAAAGTGCTGCTCATAGGGTCATGTGACTGTAGGGTCTACCTTACAATATAAAGCACCTTGAGGCGACGGCTGTTGTGCATCTTTAATGTAAGATCAGCCAAATCTATGTCAGGTGGGTTTTTTGGTGATTTTGAAAGCACTTGTGATCACACCTGCATACAAAGATCGTTATTACTCATTTGAAATTTTATATCCAGAATATGTTGCTATTTGGAAAAAAAGGCTCCTTCCAGGGACGAATAATAACTGGTCAGGAAATAGATGCTAATGTCAACTGGGAACCAGTAAGAGAATTTCAGAGTGGGTACTGCATATAGGAGTTACTCCTTTGCTTGTCAGCCAGTGTACACACTGACATGTGACCGTGTGAGTCACTGCACTCACTTTGGAGTTTGTCCAGCAGTTTGGTGCGCGATGCTGTGCCTTTGCCCTCCCACTCAGCTTTGGCTCGCAGGTCCTCTGCATGACTGCACATCAGGTACCTACAAACACAAAGCCAGCTACTATCAGAAACACCCACATCAGCTTTTACAGGGAGCACATACGTAGATGGACGTTTTATTGTAAGCCTAATTCCTGTTTGAATTGTTCATGCATCTCAGCATCTTTACAGCTGCCAGTATCTCGAAATGTTTTCAAGGCATCGTGCTTTTAACAAACGACATCTGTCATCCATCATTGTGACGCAAATACCCAGCACACTATATTTCTCCATCATCATCATCATCTCAGAACCACACTCGGCTTCTTCGTGTGCTGTGAACTGACCCGCTCAGGATGTGGATGCGCTCCGTGTTATATTTGAGAGGGGTGAGTTCGGCTCTGAGGACCTGCAGGGCCTCCAGCACCTTCCCGTCCTCCAGATATTCCAGATATTTCTGCTGCAGGAGTAGGAACTTCATCCGCTGTCGGGGAGCAAAAACAAGGATTTAAATGATCACCACGGATCAGCCGACATGTAACAACACGAATCTGTTGCTACTGAGCTTCACGTCTCACGTCTGGCTCTTTTAAAGGAACTTTAAACATCAAGATGAAAATGCAGTTACCAACCAGACTAACAATGGCTGTTCATGCTGCGCCCATCATGTCAGTGTGATACAGTCACTTTGATCTGGGCTGGACGAGTGAACGTCACTGTTCTGTTTAAAGTAGTTTAACTACACATTTAATCCGATTACAAAGAACAGAAGTGCGATTTCAAGGATCTCAGCTACACGATAAAGAAATGTAGTAACTGATCTGTCAGCACGACTCTGTGAGAAATAAGTGTGTAAAACCTCATCTGCACCATCAGAAAACTAGCTTTGTGTTCATTCACAGACATGTTTTATTTATCTGTTTATTTATAGATTTTTCTTTTGGTATTGTTTACAGTCATGGTGTACAAACAAACAGATATTTATAGTGCTGATAGTGTAATTTAACTGTTCATCTGTTATTCAATCACTGTGGTGTAGAATGAGTGGACATGTGGGAGCTCTGAAAAACATGCAAACACAGTTTAGAGTCAAAAATGTGCAGCTTCTCCAAAGACGTCCAGCCGACCAGGCTAATGTCTGAGGCTCCTGGTCTCGGACATTTGGGTGCTGGCTAACTGTCACTACAGTGGCCATATTGTGAAGCAGTGTGTCAGGTTTGCTGTGATCTGTGCCTTTAAGAGTTTGGTGTACAGTAATGTTAATGGTCTTGTCCATTTGTAAACAGCACTGAAGCAGGGGTCATTGGTTTTTATAGTTTCTCTTGTTTATTAAATTAAAAGGTTAAAGGTCACACTTGTTTTTCATTTGGTTTAGTTTGCACGTAGCGGTTAGTTAGCACTCCTTTGGAAGAACTTCTAAAATAAAAGTGCAGTAAACTGTCTTTCATCATTTCATCTCAAACTGCTCTGTGTAATCTCAGTGGATGCAGTAAACAAACCCCAAACAAACCAATGATCATTGCTGAAGTGTGTCGTCTAGACTAAAGTGCTTTGGGTAAGATTAGCGGTGCACCATTCTGTAAGCAAACCTAGCTAGCCAAACTTGCAGGCAGCCATGTTTACTTTAGAACAGCATAGAAGGTGTGATGGTTGCAGTTCTGTTTATAAGTGTACCTGTACGATATGCCATCAATGTACAGTCTGTGCTCGAGGAAAGAGGCTTTATTCTAAGTCTGATTCTGGCTCAGTGTTCAGACTGCAGACTTCATGGTGAACTGATGTTGTCGGAGGTTTGGTCCACTCACCACTATAGCACTAGGAGAATGCATCAGTGCCTTCAGCTCATTCAGGTCACTCTCAGCCTGTATGAAACGGAGAAATACAAACTCATTAACAGACCAGCAAAGAGCTCACACTCAAACCTTTACTACTACGGTGACTACTGTAACAGCCTCCTAAAGATTTAATATGCAGTTCGGAGAACTTGGTTGCACCTTGTCCCACTCTCCTTCAATGACGTGATTGCGAAACTTGGTGGCAGAGGGGTGTTCCAGTCTGCAGCCAGACTCTTGCATCAGGAGGTCCACCGTCTGGCTATGAACAGTGAAAAGAAACATCCACGTTATGACTACGGAGCATGGCGAAGCATCAGCACTCACCTGTGAGAATTATCAACACACTGACTGCAAAGTTGTGTCATGGGTGAAATAAAAAGCTGGACTATAATAAGATTAAGGTCCATCCTTCATATAAAAACGTAACAAGCATTAAAATGCAGAGATGTGTGTCACTTATCACAGAGTCCTTACTGTTACTACACGTAAACACAACGTGTAGCCAGCTATCAAAGACCCACTCTAACCCAGGAAAGTCCCCACGCATGACATCTGTGCAGGACTTTCAGATTTAAATTGCCTTGAGTTGTGCGATCACGTTGGACACAGTATGATGTCTTCCTATTCTGACAGCTCATATAAGATTTGCAGCGTACGGTGATACACAGGTCCGGATACCGTGGGTCGGATACAGTTCATTAGCGTGTATGTGACACTTTGCCCTGAGCGGGCCTACTCCTCTATCGCTCTGCACCTGCAGATAAACGCGGGAGGAAGGATGCATCCTCAGCATCTTCACGGTGACCTGCCATCACCGCGGCTGGCTATGCTGATAACAACACTAGCTACCTGAGCTGGCTCACTTACTTGAGACCTAAATCGTTCAGATGTTGTCCTATGAGCCTGATGACATCCTCCTCGGACTGAGACAGGCGCTTCTTCTTCTTGACACCCGACCCGCCATCCGCCGCGCTGCTGCTGTTGTTGTTGTTGGAGGCGGGCTGGGCTGCCACTCCGTTGTTGTTGCTGACAGCGTTGCCATTGTTGGTTACCGAGATAAGTCCGTTGGAGTGAGCGGCCACGGTGGAGGACGACTCGCCATTCTGAGTACCGTTTCGACAGGAGAGCTCGGAATCCCGGTCCTGTCCTCCACCGTTAGCCTCCATGTTGCCACGGTTTATAACGGCGATATGGTGCGTGTACGAACAGCTGACAGGTCCACGGGGATAAGCAAACCTCTGGTGCGGTTAACGTCGGGCCCACTGACCCAGATGCAGCCGCAAATTGCAAAGCTCCCCCTGCGCCCGAGTCTGTGTTCGGCGGCGTCAGCGTGAACGACAGCCGGAGTTCAGCTCGGAGGACAAAGAAACAAACGGCAGAGTTAATTCGAAAGCTGCATTTTGAGCATTTCGACGGTATTCGGTGCTGTCAGCGCCGTTAAAGCTGCGCTCAGGCTGCGGAGTAGCGCTTGTTATTGTTGCTCTCGGACAGCTGCAGCCCTGATATGGACATACGCGGTGACGTCAGCGGAAATTCCTTCACGTCCTTCTTGTTTGCTGTGCGTCACCGTTAGGCGTCGCTGTTTCCCCGCCTGGGCGCGACCTTCACATCTCCCAGCGTTCGTTTTAAGGGTGACGTGATCATTTAGGCTCTACTGACACGCGTGGATCACTGAAGAGAACACATTGCACATAAAGTCAGACACAGTTGTGCATCATTTAATTAGTCTTTTTTAAATCTATGACAAACTTCCACATTCACACTCGCAGCTGTGCAGTATCATAACATGGAGTTTAATCTCTGTGGAAAGTTGTGGTCTGTGCACATCTGTATACATGGTTCAAGCATGCTCCTAGTTTTCTAACCTGAATGTTTTCTCATTAATTAGCTGATCATCACCGTCCGAACGCAGTCGCTTTCCGGATTTTGAGTAAATCACAAATCAGTTGTCTCAATGGGCTGTGCAGTAATCACGACACTGACATTTATCAGTATAGTTCTTTAATCAGTAAGTGATAACCAACAACTCAAAGGAGAGAGGGCACATTAAATAAGAAAGGATTTAACAAACCAAAACAAAAGATTGGGAAGGCGTGAAAAACGATCAAAATCAGCGCAGTAAGAACCACAGGAGGCGACTTGTTCTTTACTTCTAACACCAACAGCCGGAGTGTGTTTGTGTTCAGCTTAGAAAAAACCCACACAGTTGCACCTAAAACATGGATTCATGTCTGAGCTCATACATTGTTGAAAGTGCTAGTTTGTTCCCAATCCTGAGACTCTTAAAAATAAAATTCAGAAAACAGCCTTAGTCCATGTTACGGCATTCAAACCTAAAGCCATCGTTTCATCATTGGCACTTTCACATGTGTGGAGGAAAAAAGCATCCCTGTCATTTCCAATAAATACATTTAACCAGTAAACACTGTGTAAACTCTATATACAAGAATACATCCTGTCCTCTTCGTTTTTACAAAGAAAAAAGATCACATTATGAAAATGGAATTAAAGGGGAAGGAATGAAGAGCATCTGGTGTGCAGAAGAACAGACTATTGCACTTTCTTCCCTTTTTACAGACAGTAACAATAAACAGAGGAAAGAGCAGTGACTGCTGCTGTTATGTCAAGGCCATCGTGTACGTCGCACTCATACAGAGTTGTTGCTTCCTACTTCCTAAAACACCGTCCAAAACTGGCTCTGAAATGTCAAAGAACTCGTGTCACCTGTCCTGCTGTGCAGGTGGATTCAGGGAGCAGCTGATTCAGTGACTATGAGACTTGGTCAGCTGATGTTGCTTCTCACCCGGCCTCTTACTTCACTCAGTTGCAGTACAATACCAGCTCAACTAAGACTTGCATTCACTGAGCTACAGTGCAATCATGTTTCTCTGGACAAGCTAAAACATCTCATCAGGAGACTGAACCTAAACTGAAGCTATAATAATAAAGCTAATGACAGCACACATAACTATGGGCACAAGTACAGGAAGGGCAGATCTCACTGCTTGTCCCATTTTCTCTCCTGGATACGTCTGTTGGTTCACTGGGGACAGAGATCATGGTGATCCAATCACTGGCTGCTTAAACTGGCTTCAGGTGATGCTGAATGTCATCTGTTTGCTGGGAAGGACCCAGAGTGTGTGAGGGTGAGAGATACGTGTACAGCTCAGGTTGTGGGACCAGTTTCATGAAGAAGAAATGGACAGGTGAGGTTTACTTGTGTCCCCAATTCAATTCAATTCACTTTTATTTATATAGCGCCAAATCACAACATAAGTCGCCTCAAGGCGCTTCATAGATACAGAGAAAAACCCAACAATCATATGACCCCCCACAAGAAGCAGCACTTTGGTGACAGTGGGAAGGAAAAACTCCCTTTTAACAGGAAGAAACCTCCAACAGAACCAGGCTCAGGGAGGGGCGGGGCCATCTGCTGCGACCGGTTGGGGTGAGAGAAGCATGAAGCCTGTAGATCAGAGTTTTCCTCAGTGCTCCATCGGACGGGGAAACAGGTTCTGGCTATTAGTAATTACACCCCAAACAGCTGTTCAGAATAACTATGCTGTTTGGAGTCGTGGGGCAGGGCGGGGAAAGTGCTACACATTGGGACTCGCTGTCTCGTTGTGCATCATCAGTAGGGACGTGGCCAGCGACAGTGAGGGGTGCAAAGGTGCTGAAGAGAAGAGTCTGTTGGGTAGGCAAACCTCGGGGTGAGGCTGGGGGGGGTTTGTCTCATCTCTGCTTTTCCCAGATGATGCAGTTCTGTTGGTTTCATCAAGATATGACCTCCAGCTTGTACTGGGATGGCCGCTCTGGTTTGGGAGCCAGTGGCTGCCCCAAGTGGAGGTATCTTCACAAGAAGAGAGCAGGACTGGTGCACTGACACAAACGCATGACAAGTCTGAAAATGGAGCTGTTAGGGTTAGGGGCCAGTTTTCATGTCAACAGGTTTTTTGGAACCAGTGAGACCAAGAAATCGTATCAGAACTACCAAAACAAACTGAAGACAGGCGTTGACAGTGGAGGGAAACAAACAGGAGAAGCTCGCTTCTACTGCAAAAATGAATTCTTAACATGTCCCAGCTGTCGTGTGCACTTATCCACAGCTTGTCCGCCCACTTCAAAAACACCTCTGCTATCCATCTGACACAGCTTCAAGACACAGAAGCCAGTGGAGCGGTGCGGCTGAGGAGAGCTGGGAGATGTGTCCCATTTCAGAATCGAGGAAAAAACATACATTCGATGCTGCACACGCTTCTTCCACCACAGCAGACGAGCAGCAAACGAGTCTGTATGAGCACACCGTTGTCCCTCACTGGTTGAATCCGACTCAGAGGCAGGACCGGTGAAGGCTGTCAGGCTTTTAGTAACTGAGGATGAACTCCAACATACACGCTGTGCAAACCCACCGTGTGTCCATGTGATGAGGACATGGTGCTTAGTTACTAAAGAGGATTGTGAGCGCACAAGAGAGAAATCTCCATTGTTTTGAAAAAAATCAGATACATTTATGAAAGAGGTGTAGCCCATCAGTGTGTTTCTCATACTGAAATGCTGAACTCAAAGAACTAATCTGGTTACAGAAGCCAAAGATTTGGTCAATCTGCTGTTGGGCAAAAAGACACTGAGCCTATGCTACTCTGATGATCCACAGTCTCAGTGTCTGGTTTACTCCCAACCAGTCCACATGTTGTTGTCTCCCGCCTGTCTTTACAATTAGGATCATTTATTTAAAATGTTTTGCTTAAGTCAAGCGCTTCCTTCAAGCATGCACTCTTTTCCATCAGTCACACAGCATCTGCCTCATGTCACTACTGCGCTACCACGTCCGACCCAGTAACAGTCACAGATCAAGTCTAATCGAATGCAGTCGGATGATCAGGCTGTGGCCACTGTGTGTCTCGTCTGTGCTGAGAAGGAGAGCAGATTTCTCCTTCATGGACTTCCTGTTAAATCCAGAACTGAATTCAAAAGCCTGCTCCTTATATACAGGTTCTTGTGTTAACAGACCTCTCTGCATTAAATCATATCTGTTATTAACCTCTGTCTCTCTTCCACAGCATGTCTTTATCCTGTCTTCCTTCTCTCACCCCCAACCGGTCGCAGTAGATGGCCGCCCCTCCCTGAGCCTGGTTCTGCTGGAGGTTTCTTCCTGTTAAAAGGGAGTTTTTCCTTCCCACTGTCGCCAAAGTGCTGCTCATAGGGGCTCATATGATTGTTGGGTTTTTCTCTGTATGTATTATTGTAGGTCTACTGTACAGTATAAAGCGCCTTGAGGTGACTGCTGTTGTGATTTGGCGCTGTGTAAATAAAATTGAATTGAGTTAATGATCTATCTTACTGACTCACCTCCTGCAGTAAAATTAAAGTTTATGCCTAAAATACATTTTTATTGCTCCAGAGGAGAGATTAGTGTGAGAGACAGAGAGAGAAATGTTTAAAAGTTTGCTTGGACTGTACCAGCCAAAGCTAACAACCTCTGCTGTAACAAAAGCAACACTTCCTTTGCACATGTCGAACATTTACACATACCATGGTTTGCTAAAGGGGAGTGCTTCTTAAATGCATCGGTTTAAGTGCTGAAGCAGAGACAGGTCCTGATGTTTCTAAATGAGGAAACAAAGAAACTATGATTCAACAGAAGGTAGCAGCAGGGAGAGCTTCATGGCCTGATCCAGGAGTGAAAGCTGTGCAGGATGGTAAAGGGACTCGTTTTATACCTCGTGCTCCAGCACGTTTTTTATGCTTATGTGCTTTTTATTTAATGTTCACATGCCAATGGATGCACTGGAGAGCAATTTGGGGTTAGTATCTTGCCCAATAAAGATTACAGCAGGCAGGGAGCAAACGGTGAACCTCGTGATTAGTAGAGGACCTGCTCTACCTCCTGAGCTACAGCCACCCAGGAAGTTAATGGGCCAGTTATCTAAGGATGCAGAGAAATCACGTCAGTAGTATTAGCTGTGTGTCTGAGGTAACACTGTAATACTTTACTATCTGTATATTCAGTACCTGGATTCATTTTAAGCTACAAGTGCATTTGTCATCAAACGGAGTGGTTTATAAAACAAATCTGCACAGATTTGACCCGTGTGGTGTGTTACTGGGTGTTTCATTACACTAAAGTCTCCTTTTGGTAAATGTTTCTGTGCCTATGGTTTCAGGAAGGGTGACACGAGGACAAAAAGAAAAAAACTTCCAAATGATGAATAATTTGTGCTGCAGTATCCGTCCAAAGCAAGAGTTCTGTTTAACCTGTTTAACCCAATATTATGAATTTCCATGTAACTCCTTATTTAAGAAGTAAGAACTTCAAACCTTGACAGCATCATCGATCAGTCCCCTCAGTGTCACAGTCAAAGAATCAGGTTTCCCTTTAATCTCCTATCTGTTTGGTGCCCTCAGCTTCTAATCTTCTCAATTTATTCGAACATCTTGATTTAAATATATACTGCTAAACTGAAATCATCTTCAAAATCAAATACAGACTCTTCTGGCATCTGTACATCTTTCTGTACAGACAGAGAATACACCAGTTCATGTTTATGAAGTTTGTAAATGAATTAGGCTTCGGTTCAGTTATAGTTTCAGGTTTCCCAGGACTTTAAATCAATTCACTTCTTTCCCCTGCACGACTCTTCACACAGCCTATGACCGATGAGTGCATGAGTGTGTGACAGACAGATAAGTCCTCAACTATCCACCACCTGATGTGGCAGAGTGACAGAGGAGCCGTTGATAAATGAGCCTTGTTTGTCTCTTCCCTTCAGAAAATAAGTGAGCAGCTCTCCTTTCCCCTTCACAAAGATGGGCCCTCTCCTCACGAAGCGGAAGCCATACTCCTTCAGGATGTTGTAGCAGTCCTCCACTACCTGAGGGAAACACACAGAGTACAAAAGTATGTCTCATTGCTTTGTACAGTTGGGGAAACAATTCAAAGCTGCACATTCAAAAGCTCCACTGGTTATGTTTGGTCACAGATATGGATGCATCGGCATCTGTCGCCAGAGTCGCGCCACCACATCCGGACTATCTTCTTACACCTGCATCCAGACCTGCTCCAGCTCTTGTACCCAGAGTTATTGCAGCCAGCACAGGTATGTGGGCTACCTGGAACACTTCAACCAGACCACCCCCTCTTTTGCCCAGTAGACCTTATCATGATTCATTAAGCCTGTGCCACCAGCAGCTGGTCATTAGAGTTTCTAACCCAGCATGTTAGAAGTATCTTACTGGTTTCAGCTCTGGGAAGGAGAGCAGCTTAGCCCTGCTACAGGAAGGACTGAGTGATGTTCTTGGTCCTCATAAGCATTTGAGGATTACAAGATCTTATTAGCTCACCTGAAGTTATCAAGTGTGCTAAACGATACATTTGTGACCCAACTGCATATATCAGTGTGCTGAGGGCTCTCGGACAGGAGTACAAGCGAACTCAGTGCCGTCCTGTGCACACCACCCATAAAGGCAGGGGACTCTCAAGCTTTTGAAGCGGGTCTGTCCTGTGGGGATGCTAACTACTGTCAACGGAGTAGCAGAGAGGTAACTCCACTGTGGATCCCATGTAGACCGACTACTTACCAAACTTGTAAATGGTTTTTTACATAAGTGCTTTCTATCTAACATTCACACATTCAGACTCCGATGGATGCATCGTAGAGAAACTTCGGGTTACTATCTTGTCCAAGGGTATATGGAATGCAGACTGGAGCAGCCAGGGATTGAACTACCAACCTTCCGATTAGTAGATGACCCGCTCTACCTCCTGAGCAACAGCCACCCCATAACTTTGGGAATACTGCCCCAACCAAGGCTATTTGCACTTACATCACTGGAGAGGAAAGTCAGTAGGCACTGTCAAACCAAGAACACAGGTACCGTAATTGTCGGCCTATAAGCCGCTACTTTTTAGTCAGGTGCTGCTTTTCTATGGATTGTCCGTGATTTTTGTCATATTGTAAGACGATTTGTTTTGTTTGTTCCGCTGTTGTACGGCACTACCTTGCCTGGCGGAAGGATCGGGGTTCAAGAGTGGTATGTTGGTCACGTGTCCATCCACCAGGCAACATAGTGCTGTACAAGTAGCGCGAAATACAAACTTCAAAGTAGCGCTACGTGTTCAGCGGGAGGCGTGGATGACGAGCGGCGATAAACTTGCGAAAAGCAAGTTGTGCTCAACTCCACCGGTGGAATCTGACAGCGTGGAAAAGTGTGAAAACATCCACGATCACCAACGGATTTGAAGGGCTGGACTGCTGCATGATGGAGAGGAGGACACCGCCACGGCCCTTCTGAGGGTGTTCGACTCCGACACTGACAACGAGGATTTGTTTGGTTTTGAAAGTGACAACGAAGGAAAGAAGCGGAGAGTGGATGAGGAAGCCATCCTGAGCCTGTTTGTCTCCAACACTGGAGGAGAGGACTTTGGTGGTTTCAGTGCGCAGGAAGAAGAGAAAGATGGTGAATGACTGACTTTACTTCTTGTTAAAGCCGTGTCACTGCACCTGAGCCTAAAAGGTAGGCCGAATCTATTGTTCTGGTGTGCTGCAGGTTATTGTTATGTACTACATTTGTTACTCATTTATGAAGCACAGTACATGTTTCGTACTTGTAATTACCGCTACTTGTACATATACCTAAAAAGTTATGCAAATATGTACCCATAACTTGTTTTTCACAATATTAATAAAAGTGATGTCTCCAAACAGCCATCTCTTTCCTGACAATTCGCTTTGTGCATATTCTCTTACATATGATAAGTCAACATTGAAACACCTGCGGCTTTTAGTCAGGTGCAGCTAATGTATGTACAAAACAGGATTTTCCCCTGATTCTAGCTTGTGCGGCTAATATTCAGGTGCGCTTTGTAGTCCGGGAAATACGGTAGTTTATTAGCCACTACCACAAGACCACTTGCTGTGGCCCATCCATCTTCTAAGGCTCGTGTCACAGAAGAAGAGAGAGTGTTTCGATCCCTATTGTGAGGAGCATTACTTGAGAGGATCCAAGGATTTCTCCAGGCTAGACGTGGCCACTGTGGTGGACTGGATCAGAGATACGAATGTTGGAGATGTGACGTAAACATGTTGCTGCATGCTCAAGAAACCCAGCAGCACCTGTGGTGAGCAACGCCTCCTTGCACTACCTGCCTTGCCAAGGCTAAAGAACAAAACCCTAATATTCTTACCATGAATGCTGGATCCAGTGTCATCTATGCTGACCATCACGCTCATCATAGATGCAGACCTCTGCAACGCTGGACGACAGGTTGGAGAGAAAATTGTCTGCTCCCATGAAGTTCCTTGCCCTGCCCAGACAGACAAGGCTGTGGCCCAATAAACCATCGCGACAGTAAGTCCTACAGCTGAATGGAGGATATCACTGGATATGTTCACCAAAGCAAAGCCAAAGGTGAGGCATTAAATATCGAAGTCATTCACAGCACAACAACTAGCCCTAGCTAAACAATCCTGCCCAGTGGAAACAACTGAGAAGAACCACCTACGACTTCCCCTTAAAGGTCTCACCCAGCTGAGACCTATGATCGGATCAGATCACCCTCACCTTATTATTCATGTTTGGCCAGTGATCTGTGGCCTGGAGGGCCAGAAGCAGTCTGCACCAAGCTGGGTTTGGCACTGCAGCAACCCACAGTAGTCTACGACAGTAAGCTGATAGATGGTTACACTCGGCCTTACTCACACAGACATGTGATTATGGAAGGACTCCAGAAGGTCACAGACGTACAACCAGGAGCTCCACAAACTGGAGAAATCTGTGGTGAAGTTGACTCCAGAGGAGGGGGAATGGTTCGACTGGATTCGGTACATTCCACACCATCATGTGCACCACAGCAGCTGTGGCTGTAGCTTACACAAGGACACGGATTGCCACAACTGGCACTTTCCTGACGGCCAGATCCCAGGTAGCTCCTCAGAAGAAATGGTTCATGCTTCATTTGGAGCTCAGAGCTGTTCAGACTACTCTGCAAACTCAGCTTGCTCTACCGCTGCAAAGCACCATGGACTGAATCCACTACTGCGCTGGGTTAGTTGTGGTCTGAGTCCTGTTAAAAGGTCTTCCATTTGTGCTGAAATCCAGGAGCTCACCAGTTCTCCCCAGTGGAAATATATCATACCAGTGGAAAACCTGGATAACGGCGTCACAAGGGGGAAGCAGCTTCATGATCTTTCACCAGCCTGCTGCTGGGCCCCCATGTTATAGCAACAAACCTCAGAGCACTGGCCCTCCCAACCAACACACCTGTCCTCGCTGCAGTGGCTGATCTGCTCACAGAGAGACTCCACGTCCACAAACCTGTATTCTGTCCAACTGGAGCTGACTGCTTGACATGAGCGCCTCAGAGGGATAATCTTTAAGTGCCTAATCATCAGATCTGCACACCTTGATTTGCTGTTGACTCTGTGCTCAGACGCTTTCCTCCTGGCCTTGTGTCTCCTGTCGAGAACACCATTCAATGTATATTCAAATCATAGATCCAATTTCTGAGGCAGGTCTCGAGAGCTGCAGGAGGCTTTCTCCACCATATAGCCCATTCTTCAGGTGCATCTTGTAAATCAGAAGATTACCTTCCATACTAATCCACCACACACATTTCTGATGAACCTGTGAGAGGGAAATAAGGTAAGTCTGCGCTCCAATCATCCTGAGGATCACATTGTTCCTAAGTCACCGCATGGCGGTAGAAGGGATCCTTAATGTGAAACCTCTTGGCTGCGCATCATTGGATACTGCTGATCCATTACATCAACTCTGCTGCTCGTGGGGCAGCAGGACGCCTCACTGCTGCAGGTGGTTTCTGGACAAGGTAACTTCATCACCAGTGGAAGATTGAAGCATCCAGGCCAAACAGACGTCTCAACACACGACCGTGCCATAGGCCAAGCTGTCATAATCGTGCCCCCTCAGTTGCCCAGGGTCATGTCGCTGGTGGAGGAATCAGAAAGATGTTTCCTGGGAAGAACGGTATAGTGCTAGATCACATCTGTATACAACCAGCGGCTGAGCTGGTTACTCTGCCTCAGATGCCAGATGGGAAGTCTTCCTCATAGCACAACAGATACTTTTTGCTGTGATCTTAAAACTGCTTAAAAGAAACTTTACACTATTTATCTGACCTCCTCTCTACAATAATCTCTTTGGAGGTTATTTGAATAAGATAAAGCAAAAGTCTGAAGTGAAGCAGTACCTGGATGTTGCCCATCACACCTGTGGACTCCATGCGGCTTGCCACGTTGACAGTGTTGCCCCAGATGTCAAAGTGGGGTTTGCGAGCACCAATCACTCCAGCTAGCACCCCTCCCTTATTTAGACCTAAAAGAGAGAGTGTTGAAATATGCAACGTGTTGACTTTCATTTGAATTCACTTCAGTCTGTTTATTTAGCACCAAATCACAAGAAAAGTTGCCTCAAAGCACTTTTATGTACGGTAAACACTCGGCAATAATAACAAGAAAACCCAATCAGACACCCTCATATGACCAAACATGTGGTGACAACTGGAAGAAGAAACCCTCTTTTAAAACCCTCCAGTAGAACGTGGCTCAGGGATGAAGGCAGCAGGACAGGACAAAGACACACAGAGTGTATTATGCCCCCAGCAGCCACGGGCAGCATAACTAAGGGAGGGCCAAGAATAAGCTTCATCAAAAAAGAAAGTTTTGAGCTTACATTTTAAAGTATAGAGGCGATATGTCTCCCATATCCAAACTGGAAGCTGGTTCCCCAGAAGAGTGACATGTGCAGCGAGGATGTAACACTATTAACAAGAAAATGGGACTCTGTGGAAGTAGAGGTTAGGTCCTGTAGCTGCTCTGCACTGTGTGGACACATGGCATTGAATAAGATAACAGTGGAGGAATTATAACCTTAAACTTAGTTACAGCAATTTTAGAAAAACATCTTCGTTGTAATTCATTATTATCAGGAAGTCCTAAAAACTCCCTGAAAAGCCTTCAGCTGATCCAAAATGCTGCAGCAAGAG